TAACTCATTCCAGTACCAACTCAAAAAATTCAGTTTCATCTGAATGAAATATGGATGAGACTGAAGACATGAATCAAACTGGGGCAATTTCACTCTAGTGATGAACCTGAGAAATTAAAACAAGTCATCTACTTCCAAAGTACAATGGTGGTACAGGGATGGGGCAGATATTTCCATAGCCAAGAAGAAATGGGACACTGGTCACAAGTTCAAAACCTAACAGAGAAAACATTAAGTCTTAAATCTGGAGAACAGTTCCTCTTGACTCCATGTCCCACATCTTGTGCATACTGGTGCAGGGTTTGGACCCTTATGGCCTTGGGCAGCCCAGAACCCAGGACTTGTTAAGCATAGCCCATGCTTCCACTCTCTTGGATTGGAGTCTCAGGTCTCCAACTCTTCCATTTTGGCAGTGCGTGCAGGGAACTGTACAGTTCTGGGCCTTTTGAGGTAGTCCTGCTACCATGGTTCCAATCAGCATTATCCTAGTGTGGGCTCTCTGACCTCACATTTCTGGTAGGCATCACCCTAACAGGGCTTTGTGAGGTAGTTCTACCCCTGCAACAAGTCGCTGGCTGCCCCTCCACTCTCCAGGTAATCCAGGTGAAGGAAGCTAAGTCCCCACAGCTCTTGAATTCTGAATGCCAGTAAACTTAACACCACAGGAATGCCACCGAGTCTGACCACTTGTACCTTCCAGAGTAGCTAGAGGAGTCACACTGCACTTGAACCCTCTTGACCCTGCTTGAGCCATGGCTGGGGCAGCCCAGGAGTGCTGTGCTGGAATGCAGGAAGAGAGTCCTGTGACAGTGCTGGACAGTGAGCCCACCTGTGGAGGGCAGCCTGGGCCTGTCCTCCAAAACCATTCTATCCTAGAGCTCTGGACCTGTGGTGAAGGGCAGCCTCAAGGTTTCTCCCATTGTCTAGATGATCCCTCCTCCACACTAATCTTGGCAAGCAGTCACTCAGCAATACCCTTGGTTTCTTGTCTCCTAAAAATGCCTTTTCCCCCTTCTTTCTCCTCTTCCTCCTTTTTTTTGTTTTTGAGAGGGGGTGTGGGTCTTGCTGTACTGTCCAGACTGGCCTTGAAGGGCTTTGCTCAAGAAAACCACCTGCCTCGACCTGCTGAGTAGATGGGATTATAGTCAGTCACAATGCCACTTTGCTTGATTAAAAATACCATTAGTCTCTATCACACAGAATATTTTCGTTCTGTTTCCTTATTAATTATAAATTCTATCTTTGAATTATCTCTTCACTGTCTTATCCCACTGTATTCAGTTAAAAAGTAGCCATGAGAGAGCCTAAAGGCTTTGCTGCTTTGAAATTTGTTCTGTCAGATGTTCTAGTTCCTCATTTGAAGTTGTAAGTTCCATAAAGTTCTATGGCAAGGACAAAATGAAGCCAAGTTCTGCAAATTTATAGCAAGGAAGACTTTTATTCCACTTTCTAAAACCTTAGTCCTCAGTTGTATCTGAGACCCCTTCAGAACGGCCTTTTTGGTCCCCATTTTAATTAACATTATGGTCAAGTTCACTTAGATAATCTCTGAGGAGCACCAAGCATTCCCAAGTCTCTTTCTCTCAGCCCTCCCCAGAATCACTCCAAATGAGTTGCATTTGCCTCTTTGCCAAAAATTAATTATGGGGGGCTGGGGCAGGAGGATTTCAAGTTAGAGGCCAGCCTGGGCTACATCGAAGGATCCTGTCTCAAAAAAAGAAAAAAAAAAAAGATTACCTGTGTGGGCCTAATTGGGGCTCTGTCCTAGTCCTTTAACATATTTGTCTAATTTTTTTGCCAATCCTACACTGCCTTTTTTATTTTTATATTTTTAATTTTTTTTTTGAGACAAGTTTTTACTATCTAGCTTATGATGGCACTCTTGCTCTTCCTCCCATGGGCTAGGATTACAGGAGTGCACTGTCACACCTGCTCATACTGTCTTAATGGAAACTGTAGTTTCCATCTATTTTTGATCTCTAATTTAACTCTACTTGTACTTCTTACATCCTTATTTGCTTAGTAATACTTATTTTAGGGCATAGTATATGATTTATCCTGGAGAATATTCCTTGTGTGGTAGGAAAGAATTCTGCTGTGGACAGGCATTAGCTCACTTTGGTCTGTAATGTTTCCTACATTTTATATATGCTTACTCATTTACTTTCTAGGTATTCTATCAGTTTTTGAGTATTGCTGAATATTCTATTTTTATCTTCAATTCTGTTTGTTTTAATTTTGTATATTTTGGGCCTAATTGTTAAGTGTTTATTAGTTTATAATTATTATCTTTTCTTTACAAGTTGATTTCTTTATCATTACATAATGTCTCTCCTGTCTAGTAGCAATTTTTTAAAAAAGTCTATTTGTCTTTGGTTAGGATAGCCTCTCTGGCTCTGGATTGGGTAGTATTTATGTTACATATCTTTATCTTTTTACTTTTTAATCAACTTGTGCCTTTGAATCAAAATTCTCTATTGTAAATTGCATATAATTGGATCATGTTTTTTAATTCGTTCAACCTGCCTGTCTTTTGGATTGGAATATTTAGTTATTTATATTTAATGAAATTATTGATGATAGGACTTACATCTGCAATCTTTCTATTGGTTTTCTATAGACCATATGGTTTTTTTATGCCTCTGTTCCTTTATTACTGCCCTCACTTTTGTTAAATGGATATTTTCTAGTGTACAATTTAAATTCTGCATATTATTTCTTTTGCTCTATTTTTCAAAAATTATTGTCTTATTGGCTGCCTTGAGGATTACAATGGCCATTTTAAAACAATTGAGTTTGGATTAATATAAACTTAATTTCAGTAGTATAGAGAAAATTTGCTTCACTCTTGCCTCCTCCTATATGATATTATATAGATTATATTTTTCTTCTCATCTAGTGTGTTCATTATAACTATTTATAATAGCTAATAACTGGAAACAACTCAGATGTCTTTTAGCTAATAAATGGATACACATGTTGTATTATATTTATACAATTTCTCAGCAATATAAGGAACAAACTATTACACTTCAATACCATGTATGACTCAAAACATCACACTGAGCTGGGGGTATAAGTGTGATGTTTTGAGTCATACATGGTATGGCTGTGGGAGAGGGCTTGCCTGACAATCACAAGGCCCTGAACTCAATTCCTAGCATGGCAAAAATAAATAATTGCTCATTATTCTGTATAAAAGAAACTATACACAAAAACTTTTATACTGCTTGGCTCCATTTGTGTAAAATTCTAGAAAATACAAAACAATAGTCAGAAAGCAGATCTGTGATTGCTCAAAATCACAGAAAAAGGGAGGGAATTACCTGCAAAGAAAAAAGAAGGAACATTTTGAAATGACCAAAACATTCTATATTCTGGTTATTATATTTGTTGCATAACTGTGTATACATTTATCAAAACTCATATTACACAATTTAAATTTGATTAATTTTAGTGTATATAAATTTGGCTTCAATAAAACAAATTTAAAATGTATAATGATAGCTGTGATTAACTTAAAAAGTACAATGATAATTAATTAGTGTTGATGGTGATAATAATTTGGAAAGAAGGACTATGTCTCTTTAAAAAAATGGGAGATATAATTAAACTGAATTTCCTTAGCCATCTGTAGATTTTATGGTGCTGTGTGCTTTTATCTTAAAATAAATTATTATAAACTATTTTAAAAACTTTTTTACTTTTGACTTTTTACCAGAAAAAACTATTTATATGGTACTAGGTTTTAAACTCAGGGCCTCTCTCTTGCTAGATAGGCTCTCTATCACTTGAGCCACATCTCCAAGCCTGCAAAAATAGATTATAGAAAATTTTCTGTGTCTGGACCCTTTTCCTATTCAAACATGAATTTACATGTTTTCTTGAGTCTACAATTTAATTTACAACTTTATGTATCAGAATCCCATCATCATGGGTCTTCTAAATTTGTAAGAGTAAGAGAATAAAATAGTTACAAAAATGACATTATCTTGCTTTTGAAATACTTATGGATGGAGCTGGCTTTAATGATACTCTATTTCTTCATGTAGATTTGGGTTATGGTCTTGTGTCTTTTTTTTTTTTTTTAGGTTGATGGAGGCCCTTTAGGACAGATCTTCTGGTTGTGCATTTTTATTTTTATTTGATGTTTTTGATGAAGTGGCCACCAGCAAGAATGGCAGCAAGAATGCCTTGGCTATTTCATACTAAATTCTAATACTGATTGAGATATACTTTCTTATATAGCAAGGGTTATTTGTTTCTCCCCTAATCTGTTAAAAATTGCTTTGCTAAATATTGAATTTCTTCAGTTTATTTCCTGGGCATTTGCACAAACTCAAACACACACTTACACACACACACACACACACACACACGCACGCACACACAGCTTCAAGGTCTTCAGGAAGAATATGGCAGAGCTGTTTGAAGGCCTTATCGATATTTCCGCCAGTTAGTTTAGGCTGGGGTTATTTTCCTATGCTGGTATTGTTGCCTTAGGAAACTGCCACATTAAATAATTGCAGTTGGTTGTTTCAGACATACAATCTACAGATAGGGATTTTTCTCATGGAGCAGTCTCTGAGTCATGTCAAAAAAACAACTTATGCAGCACAAACAGAACTTTGTCAAAGAGCTAAGAAATATATCCTAGAAAATGTCTTAGAGCTAAGAACAATGTTCTATAATTATTTTTGAGGAGTTGTAATCTTCATTTTCTTTTAAATTCCTTTTCTTCATCTGAATGTATTATTTTGATAATAATTAAAAGACAAGTCAAACTAAACCCTTATAGGTAATCTATTTTATTTTACCTAATTATGTCACATATACTTTGTTAATTATTGAAAATAGACTATATTTAATGAAGGTGGCACAAAAAGGGACAGCACTACTTTATTTCAGAGCATGCAAGAACATCTTTTCCCACAATATACACAGGAAAATTTAGAAATTGTAATTTCTAAAATATAGGATTTTAAAATTTTTTAATTATGATGGGTATAGAGAAGAAAATACAGCTCAAAAGAGAGCTTGGATATCTCTGGGTCACATGCTTTTTACTTATTAATATAATTGGTGCAGGAATTTTTGTGTCCCCCAAAGGGGTGCTGCAGTACTCTTGCATGAATATAGGGGTCTCCCTGTGTATTTGGGCTGTCTGTGCTGTATTATCCATGACAAGCACTCTGTGCTCTGCAGAGATAGGTACAGCCTTCCCGTACTGTGATGCTTACTACCACTTTCTCAAGAGATGCTACGGCCCTTCCATTGCTTTCCTGAGACTTTGGACATCCTTGTTTACACGGCCAGGGATAATTGCTAGCCACGCCCTGCTGCTTGCTGAGTATGGCATCCAGCCTTTTTACCACAACTGCTCTGCCCCAAGTCTACCAAAGAAATGTCTGGCCCTGGCCATATTGTGGATTGTGGGGTTTCTGAATTGTCGTGGTGTGAAAAAGGTGACTTGGCTTCAGACCATTAGCACAGTGCTGAAACTGACCATACTCTGCCTCATTTCCCTGACCGGGTTGCTCATGCTGGTGAGAGGAGAGGAGAAGCACGTGGCAAGGCTTCGGAATGCTTTTGATGCTGAGTTTCCAGATGCCTCCCAGATAATACAAGCCATCTTCCAAGGATATTTTGCATTTGCAGGAGGGGGATGCTTTACATTTGTAGCAGGTAATTAAGAATCTATTGAGAAAAAGGCAACCTATGATTTACTGCATGAATTATACAGTGCAGATCTTTTTATTGTATTTTGAGTTTTATCTTAAACAAATGATTCATTTTATTTTCTGTTTTGACTTTCTAAATCAGTATATGGTAACTTTGGACTTGTCACCTATTCTTAATCCTTTATCCCCTTCGTGCCAAAGCTATTATGTTATTGGCCAACTTTTTTCTTTTCAGCTTCGTTTTCTGGGACCACAAATATGAAACTCCTGAATTAATCTAGTGTCTTCTTTGTGAGTATGTGAATGCTCAGGTTGTGAAATATTTCTCTCAGATGACACTGTGAATTCATGTATGATCTAATGCTGGACTGTGTTTGTGTTGTGAATGTGTTTATTTTCTTTTGGAATTATATTTGGTTATAATATTTTTCTTTCATAGATGAACAATATAATGTTAAAGACTTGATTTTGGATGGGATTGGCTTTTCTCACATCAAGCATTTCAAATTAATGTTAAAGCTACAACCTTGTGCATACATTTTAGAAACAGTCATCTGATAGCAATCTTGGATGATTTTAAATGGTAAATTAGTCAAAATGCAAAGAAATATTTAGGACTACTCCTTATAACCATGATTATAGGCGCCCAAATGAGGTTCCTTTTCCCCCCACCTCCAGACTGGCACTCCTTGGGTACCTGACACAGGAGTTTCTCCAAAAGCCACAGGGCCCCTTGTTCTGGCTCACTGTCTAAAGCCAAGTCCCTTCTTTCCACCCTTGACTGCTGAGGTGTGTGTTCAGATGTACAATACCTCTTTGATCACTCAAAACCTCAGAGCAGAGCAACAAAGGCTGGATTTTGTCATGCCCTGTACTAGGCTCTTTAGTGTTTTAAATGGAAGAGAATCATAGATATCTTTGATGGCACTGAGGCTAGATTTAATACCCATCAATGAGTTCAGTGTGAGTACAAAAGTTTTTCTCTTTTGATTTTCAAAGTCAGTCTTTCTCCTTCAACTCTATCTAGCCAGGTGTGGTGGTGCATGTCTGTTATCCTAGCACTTGGGAGACTAAGGCAGGAGGATTGTGAGTTCAAGATCAGCCTGAACTGTATAGCAAAAACCCTGCCTCTAAAAAAAAAAGAGATACAACATACAATCTTGTGTGACTGTAAAATTGTTTCTACCAGATGGTGATTGTGTTGACAATAGATATGGTTACAGCAACTCCATAAAGGAAGAGCAAAATGGCATAGGACTGGAGACAGATGACTGGACAATGTCAACTTTTAGACAGCAAGTGGAGAAAGATGTAACAGTAAGGAAGCCAGAGAACGTTTAAAGAATTATAAAGTAAAACCCCATATAGTCTTAAAACAGGGGGTCATCCACATGGTTAAATGCTTCAGAAGCTGAGGGATCTAAGGAATGATCAGACAACATTTCATTGGTTTAGGAAAAGTCATAGGTGAACTTCATGCATGAAAGGAAAGTAATTTTGAATTGAGTTAAAAAAATAAAGTATTGAGAAAAGAAGACTGTGAGATTTTGTGTCTAAATGGACCACTGCAACTTCAAGGGCAAGGATAAAAAGCAACACTTGAATCTTCCTCTCTCTTTCTCCATTTCCAGAGATGTTTCATTGTCAGATAGTTATTCTCTGCTAAAAACATTTGAGTAAGCTGGTGGAGTGGCTCACATGGTAGAGCACCTGCCTTGCAAGCATGAGACCCTGAGTTCAAACCCCAGAACTACAAAAAAAATTATGAAATTAACTACCTTATTAATTAATGCAGAATTCCTCCAAAGCAGCTGATTGTAAGCAAAAGCTGGGGGAATTTTAGTGTGTGTTGGGGTAGTTAATGTACTAAATAAATCTTAAGAAAAACTAAGTCCTAAACACTTTTATCAGTAAAATAGCAATTTGCAGACAGCTGACTTTGCATGGATCAGAATACATTTGTTTTAAGATCAATGTCCAAGATTATTTGCTACCTGTCTGGCTATTATAACTCTTTATTATAAATTTAAATTCTTATTTCTGTAAGAATTTCTATATCTTCTTGCTATAAATAAAATATGTAATGAGAATGAATAGAAGGACCAGAAGAAAGTATAATTAATTGTTTTTAAAAAACTGCCCTTTTGCTTGTTCCAAAGCTTGTGCTAATAACCATAGTCATTAACAACAACCATTTTTAAGCACTCGTTAAGTGCTGGGCACTAGGATTGAAATTTTATTGTCTCTATAGCTTCCATTTCTCCCACTATACAGTTAAGGAAGTTGAAACCTTGACAACCCATATGTTGTCCATAGGCCAAAACTAGTAAGTGTTACAACCAGGGTGACAATTAGAGCTCTCTAATTCTTTACTCTTTGAGTCTTATCAACTTCTGTTAATGTATTCCTTGGCATTACATTCAAATTAATGTACTCCGTGAGCATTACATTCATCCCATAGGCAGATGGAAGAAATTTGATATATGTCAAAGATCCGAGCAACTCACCTTCAGCAGCAACAGGGACTTACTAGTTAGGGGATTTGGTTTTAAGTAACAGAAACCCTCATGCATTAGCTTAAACAATAAAAGGGGGCTTACTGGATGAATAGCACTGTGTTTCCTTCCTTCCTTCCTTCCTTCCTTCCTTCCTTCCTTCCTTCCTTCCTTCCTTCCTTCCTTCCTTCCTTCCAAACCAACCTTACATTGCTCTTCTCTCAGTTCTCTAAGTCTTATTGACCTTGGGTTCAAATTCTTGAGAGAAATTTTCTTATATACTAGCAGTGATGGGCTTCCAGTGGGTCAGATGTCTGTTCCGGTACTCAGGGCACAAAGACTCACTGCATACCCATGGCTACAGATGTTAAATTCTTTGTGTCAGGGAGTAATTTTCAGAGAAAGGCAAAATGGTCACTTACCACAGTGGTGATTTTAACTTTTACGTGCTTGTTTAACTAATGTGTAGCTCTGCTTCTTAAGGTCAAGTTTCTTATAGATTTTGCTCACTATTGAACTCCCATTCCCAAGCTCAGTGTGTTGTTCTTATTAGACAAGACTGAAGATGTAGGTAGGTTCCAGAAGTTTCAGGCACTGTGGCTTCAAATTTCATTTTTAAATCTGTGTCTTCAGAAATATTGCAATCTATGGGGAAATTTTCCCTTTTTCTTCATTTAGCAGCAAACTCAGAGTCAGATGGACATGCAGTAGTTTGTATGCATCTGTGTGTGTGTTTGAGAGAGAGAGAAAGAGAGAGAGAGAGAGAGAGAGAGAGAAAAAGACAGAGACAGAGAGAATGGAAAGAATACAGTCTAATATTTGACACATGAACAAGTTTAAAGATAAATTTAAGAAATAATTTTTACCAATTATGGTTTTGCTCTTTTATGTGTTGTAGGGGAACTGAGGAAACCCAATAAGACAATTCCCAAAAGCATATTTACAGCACTACCTCTGGTGACTGTGGTTTACTTACTGGCTAATATTTCCTACATGACTGTTCTGACGCCAAGAGAAATTCTCTCTTCAGGTTTGTATACAAATGGCCAAGCCAAAAATGAAGTGCTGGTACTTTAAGCATATCTGAAGTATCGCCTTACCTTTGTTTATTGTTCATTATTCTGTATATAGAATCAGCTTGTAGTTTTCTAACAATGAAGGACCAAAGAGTAGGGTTTGGCTTAGAAAGGAGATTCATGTGTAAGCATGGCTGTGCATTTTCTGATAATATGGACGAGTATGTGTAATGTTGATATATGGTACAGAAAAGATTCAACATATTAGTTGTCTGTTTCATGATCTCTTCTCATCACAGTGAGGTTATTGAACCAGTACTTACATCTATTAAATCTTTCAAAATATTCTATTTTCAGTACTCTTCTGGGTGACATGAAGAATCATAAATTTTGAAATATAGAGTATTAGCAGTTGAAAGAGGGGATGCTAATGGTCAACTGATGCATATAATTGATAATATTAATATGTAAAACGCTGAAGTTTTTAGTTTAAATAGCTAAAACTTATGGTGGTAAAGAACTCTGAATATATTGAAAATTTGACTCAAAATCACTATCTAAAAGCCCATATGTCAAATAAACAATAAGAAAATCTTAAAGAAGTCGGGCACTGGTGGTTCATGCCTGTAATCTTAGCAACTCAGGAGGCAGAGATCAGGAGGATCATGGTTTCAAGCCAGCCCAAGCAAATAGTTCATGAGACCCTATCTCAAAAAAACCCTTCACAAAAAAAGGCTGGTAGAGTGGCTCAAGATGTAGACCCTGAGTTCAAACCCCAATACCATTAAAAAAAAAAAAAAGAAAGAAAATCTTAAAGAAATAGACATACTTTTAAAAATGAATAGGAGATTCAAGGAATAAAAGGAAATTTAGAAAGAAATGAAAAATATTGAAAATGGAAAACTGGTAATTGTCTCACATCAGCACTAAACCTTGAGGCATCACTTTCTGAGATAAACCTATTACCCAGTACTTTAGGATTAGTTCCTTTTGAGCAATTATTATTGCTTTGGTGAATGTTTGAGGCACTAGAGATAAGTCAAAGAAAGGTGTTTTTTTAAAATTTTATTGTTTTATTATTCATATGTGCATACAAGGCTTGGGTCATTTCTCCCCCTTGCCCCCACCCCCTCCCTTACCACCCACTCCGCCCCCTCCCGCTCCCCCCCACCCCCTCAATACCCAGCATAAACTATTTTGCCCTTGTCTCTAGTTTTGTTGAAGAGAGAGTATAGGCAATAATAGGAAGGAACAAGTGTTCCTGGTTGAGATAAGGATAGCTATACAGGGAGTTGACTCACATTAATTTCCTGTTAAGTGTGTGTTGCCTTCTAGGTTAATTCTTTTTGATCTAACCTTTTCTCTAGTTCCTGGTCCCCTTTTCCTATTGGCCTCAGTTGCTTTTAAGGTATCTGCTTTAGATTCTCTGCATTAAGGGCACCAAATGCTAGCTAATTTTTTAGGTGTCTTACCTATCCTCACACCTTCCTTGTGTGCTCTAGCTTTTATCATGTGCTCATAGTCCAATCCCCTTGTTGTGTATGCCCTTGATCTAATGTCCACATATGAGAGAGAACATACGATTTTTGGTCTGTTGGGCCAGGCTAACCTCACTCAGAATGATGTTCTCCAATTCCATCCATTTACCAGCGAATGATAACATTTCGTTCTTCTTCATGGCTGCATAAAATTCCATTGTGTATAGATACCACATTTTCTTAATCCATTCGTCAGTGCTGGGGCATCTTGGCTGTTTCCATAACTTGGCTATTGTGAATAGTGCCGCAATAAACATGGGTGTGCAAGTGCCTCTAGAGTAACCTGTGTCACAGTCTTTTGGGTATATCCCCAAGAGTGGTATTGCTGGATCAAATGGTAGATCAATGTCTAGCTTTTTAAGTAGCCTCCAAATTTTTTTCCAGATGGTTGTACTAGTTTACATTCCCACCAACAGTGTAAGAGGGTTCCTTTTTCCCCCGCATCCTCGCCAACACCTGTTGTTCGTGGTGTTGCTAATGATGGCTATTCTAACTGGAGTGAGGTGGAATCTTAGTGTGGTTTCAGTTTTTTGCAGACTGCTAACCAGTTTTCCCAGCAGTTTTTGTTGAAGAGGCTGCTATTTCTCCATCATATATTTTTAGCTCCTTTGTCAAAGACAAGTTGGTTATAGGTGTGTGGCTTCATATCTGGGTCCTCTATTCTGTTCCATTGGTCTTCATGTCTGTTTTTGTGCCAGTACCATGTTGTTTTTATCATTATTGCTTTGTAATATAGTTTGAAGTCAGGTATTGTGATACCTCCAGCATTGTTCTTTTGACTGAGTATTGCCTTGGCTATTTGTGGCCTCTTGTGTTTCCATATAAATTTCACGGTAGATTTTTCAATCTCTTTAATGAATGTCATTGTCATTTTGATGGGAATTGCATTAAACATGTAGATTACTTTTGGGAGTATAGACATTTTTACTATGTTGATTCTACCAATCCATGAGCATGGGAGATCTCTCCACTTTCTATAGTCTTCCTCAATCTCTTTCTTCAGAAGTGTATAGTTTTCCTTGTAGAGGTCTTTCACATCTTTTGTTAGGTTTACACCTAGGTGTTTGATTTTTTTTTGAAGCTATTGTAAATAGAATTGTTTTCATACATTTAAAGAAAGGTTTTTATATTGGTACTGGGGCTTGAATTTGGGGTCTTACACTTGCTAGGTAAACACTCTACAGTTTGAGCCACATCCCTACCCATCAGGTTTTTAAAAATAGACTTGACATATAAAAATTGGGCATATTTAGGTATACACTGTGATAATTCCATACACTGTATACAACATGTGATAATCAAATCAAGATAATCAGTATTTCCAAATCCTTAAACACGATCATTTATTTTGTTCCTACCTTCAAAACCAAGGTAGGTTTTAATATAAAAATTACAACAAACTGCCTCAATTTGAATGTGACTACTGTATAGAAGGCTCCAATGGCGTGCCACTTCAGAGTGCATTCCCAAGGGTCTAGGTATCTTAGGAGCTGGAAAACTAAACAAAAGAAAGATTCTAAGGATTTGTGTGAAAAAAAACCAAATGCAAAACTACATGAGAACAATCAGTGATTTATTAACTATCTCGATTGTGTAAAGAGTAAGTTTATAAAGTTAATTCTGGGTCTGCCCAGAACTACTGGTCAGCTGGTACAGGTATACAGTTCACTGAAGCTGACATTTGTTATAACTGCCTGGGCTTCGGTCATATTGTTATTAAAAAACGGCAAATGTTGCTGGGAGAGTGGCTCAAGTGTAGTGTGCCTGCCTAGCAGGCCCTGAGTTCAAGCACCAAAAAAAAAAAGGAAAATAAATTGTAAATGTCTCCTTGGTGCATCATAATGGTGGCAACAATGTTGCAAGTGGCACAATAGTTTTGCCTTAGTGGAAAACTGATAAAGTATTTTGACTATAATCATTGCTAATAATTTGGTTTATGGTGCTTCCTTTTTCTGATTTATAATCCTTAGACTTTCTTTAAATTCCACATTTTTGAATTTAAATATTTACAGTTTTGTATTAGGAATTCAAATTAAAAGAAAATAATGAGAACTATGTGTGAAAAATGTACGTATTGGGATGGTCATCCTATCATTAGCTAAGGTAGCAAAATCATTGAAGACTTCCAGAATACCAATAGGGTTAAAGTAAATAAGTTAGATAAAGTCATATAGTAGACCATTCTGAACATTTAAAAAGATCAGATTGCTGATGGATATGTAAAGGGACAATGCTTATAATGTGACAATGATGGCAAAGGCAAGATTTAAATTCTCGTCTAAAAGAGGAAGTAAATAGAAATGGTGATCAGCTGGTATGATGTGGGTGGTTTTTGCTTTATTATTTTCACTGAATTTTCCACATTTTCTTTAATGAAGTGCATAATTGATATCACTAGTGGGGAAAGTTAAAACCAACAGAAGTAGATCTGTCCTCACCCCCAGTGGGGATTAAATCCAGGGCTTTGGGCATGCTTGGCAAACACTCTTCCACTTGAGCTATACTGCCAACTCTTTGGTTTGCATTTTGTTTTTGAGAGAGGGTCTTCCAAACTTTGCCCAGGCTGGCCTTGAAATCTTGATCTTCCTGCTTCTGCCTTCAGAGTAGCTGGGATTACAAGGAAATAGGTTCTTAAAGTTAAGAATTTTAAGGATTAAGAATTTTAAGGATTGTTTGATCAAATAATCTAAAAGATGCGAAAAATTTCCAAAGAAATATGAGGTATCTATGATGCGGTGTGAATTGGATGTTACATTTTACTTGAGGAACACTTAAAGAAATTATGCCAAACTGTAATAAATTTTAGATTGTGTGGTTTGTATAGTAAAAGAAGCAATGGTGTTAGTTGTATAATTTTTTTTTTATCTGTCAGTGTCAGAGCTCTGGCCTTTTTCTTCTTCTATTATTCTTAGAGGAAAAATACCCTCCCTTGACTTAAGAATGTGTATACCTTTGGACTCACAAGTTCCATTTCTAAAAATTTCCTCTGAGGAAAATTATATAACTGTCAAGATATGAAGGCATGAGTATTTTTTAAAGCACATTTTTTTTTGTTTGTTGTTAGACAAGGTCTCACCATGTAGCTCAAGTCAACCTTGAACTTGTGATCCTTCTGTTCCAGCCACCTAAGTGCTACAATTACAGGCACGTGCCAGCATGCCTGGCTTTTCCAAACAATTAAAATTTTATTTTTGAATTAGCACACAGTAATAATATGAAGGGATTTCATTGTGATAATACCATACATTCATACAGTGCGCCTTGAAAATGCTCACCTCCTCCATTATATTTCCAACCCTTTTCAGTGTTTCATTGTGCTTTTTTTCTATGTATCTATATGGCATACTTTGCCCATCTGACATTGAAGCACATTTTATATTAGCAAAAACCTGAGAGCCAGGCATTGTGGTGCATGTCTGTAATTTCATCTACTCGGGAGGTGATCCAAGGCTGATGACCAGGGCAAAAACACAAGATCTTACCAGAAAAACAAACTAATGCAAAAGAGTTCAAACTCTAGTTCTGCCAAAACAAGCACAAACACAAACAAGCAAACAAGCAAAAAACTGAAAACAACCTATAGATTCACCAATGAGATATCTATACATAAGTAGATAAATTAATTTGCAGTTATATAGTTGAATAGTGAGAATTCACTAAAATAATTACATGGATGCATATGTACTAATATGATCAAAATACATTGGAAAGTAAAAAAAAGCAAGCCCAAGCATGTGAACTCACAAACACACTCATATGTGTGTGTACTCACAGAATCCATGCACACAAGGATGCAATCCTCTCAGAGCTTATATGATATAATTTTAGATGATTTCTGGAGGAGGATCTAAATAGATGTTAACAGTAGCTACACTGGGGGAGCACGAACGAGAAATTGAAGAAAACGTTCACTTTTTACTTTATGTGCTTCACTGCTATTTATTTTACTTTTTACCAAAAGCATATATAATTAAAAAAACATGAAATTATATACTTGTGAACAGACATCTTAAATGAGCAATGGACTATGTATACTGAGCTGAGAACACAATAAAAATTACTATCAAAGAAAAAATGGTGTGGGAAGGAGTAAAAAAGGAAAAACAACTATGGGCTAGGGATAAAGATTATGTATGAATATTATGTACAATTTTTGCCAGCCAATGCTGGCCTTGCTGCACTATGGCCTCCTTTAGTTAGAATCAACCACACTTGTAGAAAGTGCATTGGGAAATCAAAGGGCAGCTTCTTTTGCATTATGGAAGAGAAATATTTGTAAAATGTGTCTGAAAGTGGGCAGTATGTGAATGTATGGGTAACCAGGAGGAGCAACCAATAATACCTTATTTGAAATGAATAAGAACTGAGACAGGAGATACTTTTAAACAAGACTCAATATTGTAGATAGTGCTAAAGAGAAAAGTGGTATGGCACTTGAGACTATTTGAAATAGGTTAAATATCTGGGCATGGTAGCCCATGTCTGTAATCCCAGCACTTAGGAAGCCAAGGTAGAAGAACCATGATTTTTTGTTCAGCCTGAGCTACATAGCAAGACCCTGTCTCCAAATTAAGTAAATAAATAATGGTTAAAAATTAAAGATGTTAGCATGAACCATTGACGACATTTTAATTTTTCACATTTGAAAAGCCATTATACTGATGCCCTGGCGACTCCCCCTGGAAACCACCCTACTTATGCACAGAGGGCACCTACCCCCAGAGGTACCGGGGTTGACTGTACTCATGTTTCTCTGTGATGGAATGATCATTCTCAACCTCTACTTGGGAACCAGTTTAGACCAGTCCGAAATGACATAAGCATCTTCATCTGTGTATAATTTATTTTCTTTGCCTTTGTGGATCATTTTTCTAAATATTTTAAATTGTGCACTGGTATGGGTAAGTCTCATTATGGTGTCAGCAGTGTCACAGTGATTTTTCTGACTCTTACTGAATCTGTCAGCATTCTATATGCTAATCTTAGAAAATAAGTGTGCTTTCAATCATCCATTCAATAAAACTAATTCACTTCTCAAGTATTTTTTGAAAATTCCCTATATGTCTGAGTGAAGAACTAGTTTTATAGAAAAGAAATAAAGGCTCCTTGCTCTCAAAAAGTCCCTAGTCTTTTGGGGAAAAAATAATAACTAAAATGGACACATGCATAAGATGTTATGTAAAGATAAAACAAGGAAAGAATGAATAAAATTGAATTTTTGAATGACTTTAAAAATTTTGTGCTCTTACCAGGAAATAATATTATTTAAAGGTTTCTCATTAGATCTTCTTTCTTAATATGCTTACTTTTGTGTGTTTTTGTTTTTCTGCAGATGCTGTGGCTATTACATGGACTGACAGAGTCATCCCCCAATTAACGTGGATTGTTCCTTTTGCGATTTCTGCCTCATTATTTAGCAATCTTATGATTGATATACTTGAATCATCAAGACTGAAATACATTGCAGGCCAACAAGGCCAACTGCCTTTGTTATTTGGCATGCTTAATATTCACTCCTCTCCATTTATACCTGTTCTAGAAAGTGTCATCCTGGGATCCATTGCAATTGCCTCAACAAACCTAATTGAACTGATAAACTATGTTTTTTTTGTGTCTTCTGTTTGGACGATATTATCATTAGTAGGATTACTGAAGTTGAGATATCAGGAGCCCAATCTACATAGACCTTATAAGGTAAAAGTGGGTTTTCTAAATTCTTTTCTATTGTGAAATAAAAGCTACTGTTTGTGACTGTATTTGAAGGCTATATTTAGAACAGCTGTAAGTATTTTACTATCCAACAAATTGCAAAACATGTAAGGGTAATCTAACCTTCATTATAAATTTTTACTGTATAGGCTTTACTCAGTGTAAAATCTCCTTAGGTTCCATTTAGTGGTTTATTAGAAAGAAAGAGAGTTCTAAGGGCCGTGGGATGGATCACTGTGAGACTTTGGACCAGAGATTATTTGAGTTACTTATTACTTATGCATACCAGTGTCTTCTCCAGTCCGGGTCAGATTTAGCAAATGGAAACTAGAAGACACAACTCAAGGTCACACATGATAACATCCACTGCTTTGAAACACCAACTAATTTTGATCATTGAAGACTTCCATCTTTTCAACTTTACTACTTTTAAATGTACTTTTGGTCTAAATGAGGAAAAATTTCACAGAAGAGGTACTTTAATTTTAAAAAATAGAAGTAAGCAGACATTTAGCAGCATCAGGATTATGGGGAAAAGATGGCCTATCAGAGCAATAAAAATCTTGGTTGGCTAGATAGCATATTCAAGACTTTGTCTGGATGGTCACCTTTAATTCTTCCATTAAGACAAAAGGCAATTACTCCTGCTGTGCCCATTTTACAGATGAGGAAAGAGGTTTTGAGACACTAAGTCACTTGCCTAAGCTCATATAGCATGGAACAGAGCCATGATTCAAATTGTGGCAGTCTGTTTGAAGTGTTTGACTAGATGCTAGGAGAAAGAAAGCAATGTCTTCATCACCAACGCTGCTTGATTTACAATCATCTTTCCTTTTCTGTCTTCCCTTCTACTTTCACTCAGCCATCGCTTACCTGCTGGATATTCAAATATGAGATGTGACTATATTTCAAGCATCTTACTCAGTGCTCTGGGTACAGAAAAGAGTAAGACTTGGCTTTTGCCTTTAGGCAGGTTATAATCTAGCTGGACAGTCAGATGAACCAAAGACCAACCATACTATGCTAATTATGACCTGGTGACATCCAGAGGATACTCGGAGAACCTTGTGGAGGAAGATGTAATCTAGAGTAAGATTGACCTCCGTGGTCCCCCTTGGAGCTTCCACAATGTCTCCTCTTCTCACAGTTTCATCTTCTGCAACTTTTAAATCTGTTCCCTCTTTCTGTTTTCTGACCCCCACTTTTGCTAGATCACTGGCCCTAATTAGACTGAATGAAGGTGAAGTTATGAACTGATGATGGATTTGTAGTACACCAAGATAATCACAAGTCAATCATTAAGAATTTGGGCTCAAGTCCAGGTCCTCAGCTTATTTTCTGAACTTTGTCTTGTTAGTTGACGTCTGCTCCTCAGTTCTTCATATCTCAAATGGCTCCCAGGCATGTAGATAGATTAAATAAGCTAAGGCTTGCAAACCATCCAGGGCTGACATTAAAGACTATTGTTATTTTATATTATCATATCATTATTTAATTTACATTTGCATCAAAAAGGAATGCAAGGGCAATTTATTTTTTTTGAGACAGGGTCTTGCTGTGTAGTACAGGCTGGCCTGGAAATCAGTTTATAGCCCATGCTGGCCTCAAACTCAGAATCATTCCACCTCCTGAGTGTTGGGATTACAGGCCTGTGCCACAATGCCCTACAAGGGCATTCTGTAGTACAGATGGTTAATTTTTTTTGTCTGCCTATGTGAGTGCTTGTTTCTCTTTTTAATACTGAGCTGTGAGATGGTAGGCTATCTTTGTCAGTGGTACTTAAAAGTAAGAGGAGATTCTTAGTTATTTAAGACCCAAATGAAAGATTCTGCCATTAAAGGCGTTCATAATTGTGACTGCTGTGTATATTTAGGGTATAGATTCATGTCTCGTAAAGACATCTTAAAAATGACTGGCTAGAGATAGGCATGGTATTGCATACTTGTAATCTAGCATTCAGGTGGCGGAGGCAGGAAGATCAGAAGGTTGAGGTCAGCCTAGGCCACATAGTGAGACCCTGTCTCAACAAACAATCAGACAAACAAACAAACAAAAACACCCAAAATATTCTTTCTGGGTAGGGTAACTTTAGGTATAGCAAATACCAAGGATGGATCTTTAAGATTTTTGGCAAAACAAAAAATAGGAAGAATTTTTTGGACCAAAGGGTTCATCTTGATTTATTTCCTTTCTCAATCTGCTGAGCCTATGAAGTCATCATATTTACCTGAGTAACAGAGGGTCTACAGATAGTTTTTGTATTTTTGTCTTGAATTTCTTACAGACTTGAACTATTTTTCAAGTATGACTGCTGTAACCTCCATTTGGCCTTGGAAATTCCCTCTAAATAAATTCATACCATCTAGATGAGCAGATGGGTAACTTATTAGCTAATGGCCAGGACTGCTTCCACTCACTTAGAGTCAAACGTCAGATACTCATTCCTCCCAACCAATGCCCTGATGATGTTGTCAACAATTCCTTTTATGTGTTGTAAGCCAGGTTTATCCAAATAGCCTTCACAGTTTGCTTTTTTCTATCATTAGCTTATATCTTATTTTTATTTATATGAATACATAGCTATCATATATGAATCTCTAATTTTAAAAAATTTTGCCTTTTTTTAGGTGTTTTTGCCATTCATATTTGTGACACTGGCCATCTCCCTGTGTTTGGTTTTGATACCGTTGGTAAAGTCTCCATCGATGCACTATATCTATGTGTTTCTCTTTGTTCTCAGTGGATTACTGTTTTACATACCTTTAGTATATTTCAAATTGAAGTTGGTTTGGTATGAAAAGATGATTTGTTACTCACAATTGCTATTCAATATTTGTATCCCCGATGTGTCTAATGAGCAGGTGTCAGAGTAGGAACCTAAAAAAATAAATGGCCTGCTAAAAACACACCAAGTTCCAAATAAAGATTGGGCATATGATGTAATATTAATGATGAAATTCCCTTGATAACTTTCTCAAATGAAGCAATGTAGGTAACAGTGTTGTGGAGAGTACTAGCTTTAAAATCTGAGGCAATCATCATTATGTATGACTAAAGCTCTGTCTTGTTTAGTAAAAATTTTAAGTCTCAGTTTGTATAGCTTGATATATTGATGTCTCTCCTGTTCTTCCATTTTTTTCCTGTATCCTCCATTTTTTTCCTGTATCTCAACTTTTTCTACTGAATTTGTGGTGTTCTTGTAATAAAAGTTAATGATTAAAAATGAAAAAGCATTCTCTTCATCTTTCTTGAGTCCTGTTTTTTTTTTTTTTTTTTTTGGTGCTCATTTGAAGGTAAACAGAACAATTCCATGTGTCCTCTTTGCCTTTCCCCTCTAGTCACATTTTTTAAACCAATAGGTATTTTAGAAGCATGTGTTAATAAGTTTATTTTCTTTTGAGTGCCTTCCTTTAAATCCCAAGGAACATTGGAAGAGCAACATTGCTATGCTTTCATTTGACTAAAATGGGACCTATTTGCACTCTGCATGTAGGTATAAAACATGTGTATTAGATAGCTGAATAGATAGCATTTCAGCAGTCACACTCAACCAAGTATCATTCACTTTCTAAAAATTCCTCAATTTAACATAGAGTTTTAAAGTGTCTGGGTTAGGGGTGTCCTTCCAGTAAGAACAGGCAATGTGGGAAAATGATGAACCATTTTTGTTAGCCAGCTCTGTTCCTCATCAGTTGTGCCTCACAGGTGGCTCTTGTCCAGTTTGAGGAGTCATTCCCTGCTGTAATGGCTGAGCATCTTCTCCTACTTCTTCTCCCTTTTCTTCCTCTTCCTTCCTTTCTCCTCCCCTTTCCTCTTCCTCCTCCTCCCCTCCTCTTCTCCCCACCTCTTTCTAGTCTAGTTTTGAGATGAGGTCTCACTGTGTTGCCCAGCTTGAACTTCTAGGCTCAAGTGATCCTCTTGCTTCAGCCTCCTAAGTGGCTGGGACTATAGGTAAGTATCACTATACCTGGCTTTGTGATAGTTAAATTTTTTGTGTCCACTGCCTAAATTGCAGTGCTCAGGTATTTGGTCAAAAATTATTCTGGATGTTTCTACAGAGCTTTTTTTTTTCCTTTGGGGAGATGGGACTAACATTTAAATGGGTGGCTTTGAGTAAACCAGGTTGTTCTCTCTAATGTGGTGGACCTCATCCAATCAGTTGAAGGTCTTACTAGAACAAAGTCTGACTCCCTACTTCTCTTCCTGCAGCAGGAGGGAATTCTAAGCAGATGGCATTGGGACTATAATACTGGCTCATCCCTGGATCTCCATCCAGCCCATTCTGCAAATTTGTATGTGCCAGCCCTCAAAATCCTCTGAGCCAATTCTTTGAAAAACTCCCCTTTTTTCCATGTGCACACCCACTGGATCTGCTTCTAAGGGGGAACCCTGACTAATACACCTGACTCTCTCTGTTAGATTAAATATCCTATTCTTGCTTACTAAAGATGACTCTTCCCAGGTATTTATTCTCTTTCTTCTTTTGTAATATTTTTAAATATCATTCAAATTTAACCAATAATATATTCAAGTTAGCAGGATAGATGCATCCATTTATATTTTATTACTTATTTATTTTCTAAGCCAGTTGCCCATGTGGGCCTTATGGTTCAACATTCCCTCCACATGAAGCCTCCATCACATCTATGCAACTCTATAACAGCATCATTTCCCTCTTCCTATGAGCTTCCAACACAGTAGATGGCAAAAATAACTCTTGAGCTTGGTTCCATAGAAGTCATTCATATTTTTTACATTAAAGGTCAGAACTTAAGATTTTAACTGCCTGAAGATATTTGGATAACACATGAAAAGAACCATAGATTTGATTGATATCAGAATTAGAAGAAAGCTAGAATGTCTATAGCACCCTTGTAAAATAATTCACTTACCTAGGCTTATACACTTCTAGGTGTGGGGAAATCATAACCTGCTAAAGATGCTGGTCCTATCTTTGTTTTTCCAGAAGCTTTGCCTAGTATGAAGCAGCAATGTAATGTCTACTGCTGGGGACATCCAATCCTCTTTCACATGTTGTCCCTTCAGACATGGAGTAAGAGCTGCCTCATGGGTCTGTGTCTCTTCCAGATTAACAACCTCTCTCCCCCCATATTCAACAGTTGATGCTTTTAAGACCTTTGATCCCTGGGCTGGAGGTGTGGCTCAAGTGGTACAGCACCTGCCTACCAAGTGGGAGGGTCTGAGTTCAAGCTCCAGTACCACAAAAAGCAAAACGTTGATCCCTAAAATGTTTGTGCTGTAAACCATGCAGTCTTTCTAGATATTATCTGACTATGAGCAGATAATAAGAACCGAGCTATTCCTTTGGCTCATTCTGAATATTATAATTTTGCTCACTGTTTTGGCACTACTGTAGACTTAGGCCTCCTAAGCCTTTCCTGTGAATTATGGCTGAGACATGCCATCTGGGCAAGTGTGATAAGCCAATAAAACTTCTCAGGGAAATTTTTATTCTATAACAAATTAGCAGGAAATTGGTTGATGGTAGGAAATGCAGGGGCTGTTCTAGGTCATTAAGTTTTTATATCATTTTGGGAACTAAGGCCTATTTGCATAGTAAAACTTCTGCTTCTATCTTCTTTTGTAACACTCCTGACCATCAGTGAGTTCCCTTCCAGTCATATTTACTTTGAGAGGAGTCTGTTTTGATGATGGCAGGCAAGGGCTTAATTGCTCAAGTAGGGTTAATGACATTTAGCTGTTTGGCTAGAGTATACCATGGAGACTTGCTGGTTGTATATGACCACACTTTCAAGCTGAAGAGTAATCGCATGGCTACCATGCAAGTAATGCCTCAGCGATATTACTTCTTGTCTGCACCATGAAATTAGCAGAGCAGACACCACCTGAGAAGTTTATGCCTCCTTTCTTTCCAGAACAGATTTAAATATCTCTGTAGGGCTGGAGATGTACCTCAGTGGTGGAGTTCTTGCCTTAGGTTTGATTCCCAGCACTAAAAAAAAAATTAAAAATAAAAAGCTCTGTGAGGGGGTATTAGCTTTCTAGAGCTGCCATAACAAATTTGATAGCTTAAAAACTACAGAAAGATATTCCTTTGCAGAGGGCCAGAATTAAGGTTATGGTAGGATTTATTCCAACAGCAGGCTGCTGTCGAGGGACAATCCATTCTGTTTCTGCCCTAATTCCTATTGGTGCTAGAAGGCCTTGGTGTTCCTGCACTTGGAGCTGCATCACTCCAACCTGTGCTTCTGCCCTTACCTGGTTTTCCCCCATGTTGCTCTGTTGATATGCTGGAATTTTCAGGTGGTGAGGGTCCTTGTTCCATGCTTAAATGGAAATCAAAGGCAGACTTGAGCAGCAAAGGTCAGAAAAGTTTTATTTGTAGAGAAGAGAAAGGAAAGGCCCCATGGGGTCGTGCAGTGGGAACTGGAAACCAGTGGTCCACTGAGTCAGGTTGGAAATTGGGTTATATAGCTTTTTATTGCCCCAGGACAGAGATTTTGGCAGGACGGATGTTGAAGGAGAGGTGTCTCTGTGGTGTGAACAGATGTTTCTTGGGAAGGAGAAGGGGCATTTTGCCCCTGGCTAATTGTCACCTTTTGGGAACATGTGGACCTCCCACAGTCTGGCCTTCACTGTACCATCTCATCTCAACATCATTAATTGCATCCATAAAGACTCTTATTTGAAATAAGGTCCCATTCTGATGACATTTCTTTGTGTTTCCTGTTGTGCCATATTTTCTCCTTTTTCAATGACTGGCCTTATTCACAAGTATATTTGGTGTCAACACATTTACATATACTAATGGTACACAAGGCACAAAATCTATCAAGCCTGACTTACTGTTTTATCACTCTCCAGTCCCACATTTGTAGGTTCATGGCATATTCAAAATTTCTATCTCGGTTATAGTCTTATGAAAGATAAAGTGTTTTGTGGCATGCTAGATAATTCTTTATTGTGTGGATTCTAGTGTGTTAGTAAGACCCTAATGTTTGCCCCTTTCCTTGCTATGAGAAAACATTTTGTGCAGGGAAAAGGCAAAATCATTCCCACCTTCAAGGGATGAACCATAAATGATCTTAACTAATCACTGTAACCCATCTTTTATTCTCTGTGCTTTGGTAGAGGCATGCAATCCAATTTTTGTCAATGAAATGAAAGGGAAAGTCAAATATAGAGTTTATAAAATTCTCCTTCCTAATTAAAAAAAAATGAGAACAAGCTCTCTATTTGTCCCTTTCATAGGTAGAAGGTATGATTGCTGGAATTTGTGATAGCCATCTTGAGGCCCAGAGACCAGAACCCTGGGAAGAGAATCACCCTGTTGTTTAGTTGCGGACGTGAACAACCCTGGGACTGCCTGCCTCCAGACTTCCTGTTATGTGACTTCAATGAACAATCTATGGCACAAACACATTTACCCAGTTCCACTTCAAGCCAAAAATGGTTTAACCAGTACAATTGGTGGTCACTTAGTGATGAGAGAGGGTAATCAACTTAAAAATTTAAGTCTGTCTTATTATTTATCAATCAGAGTTAATATTAGAATTAGATAAGATAATATATTAAAAATAAGAAAAGTGTTTTTCTCAGTGCCTGACACATGATAAATACCAAATATCTGGTTGTTAAGATTATGCTAAATTAATACCTCTATTTTCTTTCTTCTTTCAGGTAAAAGTTTTATTAATTGGAAGGAAAAGGGAGTTCAGGAAGGGGGCGACACTGATTATGGGAGATGAAGGCTGTCCTGCAACAGAGAATAAACCAGGCAAAGACCTCTATTTTCTTTCATTTTAATAACTATGCTAATAATTATTACTCACGGTATGGCCTAAGGAGGTTATGCGAATTATAGACAGGCACGGCTATTTTTTATGGTTAAAATATGGCACATACTAAATGCTCCATAAAATTTTAAAAACAAGTGAACATAACAGATGTAAGACTTTTATTAAATGAATAAAAAAAAGAGTGAGTGAATAAGTGTTAATACTTTCTAATGACTATTTGTCATTTCAAATTGCTAGAAGAAACAGTGGCATAGTATCCAAATAAATACTGTGGAAAACTTAATAGACACAGTTCCTTTGGAGAACTTACTATAGCATGTTAAGTGACAAAATATGAACACTCCATAGAAAACTTCATGGTGTCATTTACTAGTGATAAAGTAGTTCATTACATAATGGGAAAT